TTAACAGAACTCACACCACACTATCCAGGGCTGAGTTTCACCGCCATGTCATTCGACCCGACCAGAACGAAGAATCAACAACCAAACCAACAACACAGAATCATCCAATTTGAGCCAATCCAACTACTAACTACTACGACTACCAACAACTACCTAGTTTGTGATATCATCCGCTGAAAGCGAACTACCTACCTACCAAGCATTAACAGAAATTAAATTCAAAGTTGGATGCCTGGTCATTCAAAAATGGATATTTAGACCTTTTCCCTTAACAATTTCAGTCGAAAATTACACAATTCAATCAGAAATGACTTTGGTAAGACGGTAATCTTTATTTTTATGGGCTTGATATATAAAGGTTTGGCTTGAGAAATTTTTTAAATGACAAGTCGATACTCCCGATACCCCGCAGTTCGGAAACCATTCTTCCAGTTGGACCATTACAATTAAACTATTTAGTTGATGGTTTAAAATATTTTATTATTGTTACATGTTCCCTTTCTTTCAATTGTCTGCCCTTTGATGTTCTTTCATGAAATAACGAGCGTGTCTTTTATATCTGCGCTGTTCCTTGCATTAAAGAAATCTACAAGTAGTTTTAAATTGTTTAATTACATGTTTAAAGTTCAGGGCGTGCCTGTATCAAAATACATACAATACAGAAAAATGAGTTAACATTCGACGCTTTCTTTCGATTTGATGGTATTTTAATTGTAAATATTTGAACGTCGTTCCGACTATTTATAAAACTCAGCACCACTTTGACGTAAGTTGATAGATAATAAGTTGGTCTTGTAATTATGTAATTTTCCTTAAGTTTCTTAAACTTTATTTTTTAACCTAACGCGTGTTTGAATATTATTAGCATAGCTAGGAATGTTCTATGTGCATGTATTGTTTATAATGTATGTAATTTTATTATTTATTGTGCACAAACTTATGTATTATTTTCACTGATGCTTTTTTTGTTGTGAAGTGTTATTTTTAGTTCTTTTTACACATTTCTGAATTACATTTCTGTTTGGAAAAATTAGTTAAAGTGAGTTTCAACTGAACACTTCGAATGCTGGTACTAAAATGAGTAACAAATTTATAACATAAAAAAATAGAAACAAAATTACTAACATCGCGAATGTGTTAAATTGTTTTAGGTATGGCATGGGGTTCAGACGTTTATCTTCTCGGCTGCGAAATATTCTGACACAATAAATTGGAGTATCTTTAAGAGTTTTTTTTTTGATAGTATTGTAGATGTAGTATAGGTATCGTTAATTTAAATTTCTACAGTATTTAAATTCATACAGATGCCGGTCATAGTTCTCTCTTGTTATATTTCATTCACGGACATTGCGTTCCGAACATTCTTATAAAATAAGTTTCACATTTGATATGTTTTCATAATTTGGGGGCGATTTTCTGCAAAAACTTTTGAAATGAACCATCTCGTTGACTATTTCTGAATATTACAAATACAATCAACACAAAGTGCCGATGTACCATACGCTTATTTAGGTCTACTCCTATATGGATATGTTGACCAGGACTTACTTCTGTTTCGTTTCTCTGTTTCTGGTTCGCTTTAACGCTAAGCTGGACACTGCCTTTTACCACGGGAAAAATTAAAATGCCTTTCGTCAGCCACATCTCTAACCACTACCCCAGTTTCTGATGTTACTCATATTTTCCGATGTTACACATAGTTAGAAATTGCATGGTTGGGATATTCTTACTGATCGTTGTTTGAAGAACTTGTTGTATATGGGTTAGTGAAATAAAACCACAGATTAGGGTAGGAACAATCTATTTATTTTCAATAATTTGAAGCTATCACAAGGACAAAAAGCCAAGAGAATCTTTCATTTGTGCTGTACTATTGAACAATTAGGAAGATCTACATATGAACTATAATGGTATATATATATATATCTGATGTAATTAATTAGAGTAATTAAATAGGTCATTAATCAGAATTATGATAATTAATATAGTCATAAATCTTTCAGTCAATAACTATACATTATCATTACATTTACAGTTGGCTTGTTTCTACATTCAGTTTATTTGAACATTTGTGTAGAAAGCTCACCAAGGTCAAATGGAAGATCTGAATGAAACCATTTCAAAAGTTAAATTTTGCATATCAAGAGATAAACATGCTATTGCTTCCAAAAATAATTTGACATAACCTCAGTTGTAATAAATATTTTAAAATTCTATTCTATGAAAGTTATTGCTCTTAACTGAGAACATGATTCTAGAAGACACAAATAGAAACAGGTACTTTTCAGTGAACATCATATCAGACCATGTGGCATCAACTGATTTCTGTAACTCAGATTATAATATGTTCATGTACAAACATAGTTCATATGATCATCTGATTTCCAGAGTATCCATAAAGTCCACTGTATCAGAATGCATAGTTATTAGAATTAATAGTAAAATATAAAGAGTATTCTACAAACCGACTTCAAACATAAAATTTTTATTGTATAAGAGATTAGAAGTGGTGGGATATTTTTGATAAGAAATTGTGCCAAAATGATCTCTGAAAATTGATTAAAGACTATTTACAAATTAAAATTTTGACTGGACATGCTTCAAACTGACTAATTTCAAATCATCAAGAAATATATACAATGATCAAAAAAATAGAATTTGAATATTTTATGGCACTGGATACAAATTAACCCAAACCAAACCCTTTAAATACTTAAAATATGTGGTATATAGAATATTATTGTTAAATCATAAAGATGCAGTAGAAACTAGTTACATAATGACATCAAAAGACACTTTTCATATAATCAACTTTCCTACATTATGTTTTAAATATCTTTACCTTGAATTTTACCATAGAAATTAGAACAGCCAGAGGGAATACAGTGAGTCAATATCATGATATTATAGTGAAAACATTGATTGAAATTTACTAGGTGAAAAGAGACTAGGTAGAAGAAAAGTGTCTAGTTTTATTCAAGGTTTCAATGATATATAGAACCATACTGAAATCATTAATAAAATCAATATATACCTGAACAAATTGCCACCAGCTATTTTTCTTTCATCTTATTACAACATGAAAATTATCTTTTTTTAGCATATCCTAGACCTTTTATTTCAACAACTAAATATAACAGTACAGAGAGTAAACAGCACAAATAGAAAATAAGGCTATGATGTGAAGGCTGCTTAGGATATAAAAAGATATTCAGTCTAGTCTTACTTCGTTGGTTTTTTTTCAAAACTGAAGGGAATACAATCCAAATTTTAAAAAGACAGTTTTATGATTGGTTAAAAAACCTTGATCATATTACTGTAATGCTAAAATCATCTTGAGTTTTCACAAACAACCTCTCAATATGAATATATGGTATTAATATATCAATTGCGATCATCCTACCCATAGTTAATTATATATCATATATGAATATTTTTATTTAAACAATGATAGGTAATAGACATGACTTATCAACTTAATCTAGAAATTACCCTTTTACGCTGTGCATACAAAAATCTCACAAGCAAAATCTTCAAAGCACATGATTGAAGAGAAGGTCTTCAGTAATTTCAAGTCATATATAACCGGTATTACAATCAGTATTTGTATGCAGTGATCATTGAGAATAACAAGTGAATTTAAAAATGAATCTTACATAAAATGATAAATATCATGATGAAAAACTAAAACTTAATGCTAACATTACCTTTCACAGTTACCAAACATAAACAAAAAATAATATAGTGTAATCATAAACTAGGAATTAGGAATCAAGTCTTAATTAATGGTATTTGGTCTTAGTGCTATCCCATTAAAAAGAATTCAAAATTCAAAGTTTTGAAGTATTCTGAGGCTTGCTACCAAAACATCATAACTTTGTAAGCCAGAGGCTAACTACAATGCTAAGATTAGCACTGAAACTCTATAGAGTTAAGATTTCTTACAGTTTTGGGGTTTCTGACAGCAAACTCTTACAGATAGATATTAAAGCCACAATCTTGCCATTTATAAAATTATACAATACATCAACCATTTGGCAGACCTGCACTTTAAATAAAGAATTAACAAAGGAAATAAGCACTTTCTATGATGATTATACATTGAGAAACTTCTCATAGTTTCAATTTAACATGCTAAATATAAATAAACAGAAAATAACCTGCAGCAAACAATAGCAACAACAAAATTCATAGCAGCTAAAAATAAACAACAATTTTCTACATTGACCTTTTATCTAAAACAAAATGGCTGCTAAAAAAATTCTGGTTCAGAATAGACTATTTTATACAATGAAGGATGAAATAAATGAACAGACTTAGATGATAATCAAATAATACAATATATTTACAATATTATCTACTAGATCTGAACTCACAGCACTTCCTTTACCATTTGTACTCATACAAGATACTCATGCAAGTTACAATTGAGTCAGTAAATGCAGCATAGCACAATTCTTCAAAGGGGATAAACTCAAATGTCACTTCCATTGGTACCAAGTACCATCCGTTACAAACAAATTGCTTTTAGTCATAGAGAATTACAAACAACACACCAATATAAACAATGTGAAAATTTCTCACTTCAGTTGACAATTAGTTGAAGCCAACCATTCTACAGATAATATCCATTATAACAGGGCAAGAAGAGGACATTATTCAATGAGGCATTGTTCTTTTGGAAGATGAAATTCGCTATGTTGTGCTGTATTGAAATATTACTTTTTTTGTACTTTGTATTTTGCTCATTTATATTTTTCATGCAGTTTTTTGTAACTCCTGTATTTTGTCATCATTCACATTATTGTGTTCTGGTTTGTTTTTGTTTTTTGTATTGCTTTGACCACTTGTGGTGTAATTTACGCAATAAATTATTATCATTATTATAAACTCTCATAATACAGTATATCTTTGCAGTTTTTAATGTCACTTTTGTTTTTTGTCCTTATTTTGTATCAGTAAAGAGTTATTGAAAGGAAATTTTGACAAAGTCTATGTTAAATACAACTTTGGTATAATAGTTTTTCTGTTAGTATACTCAGTACTCTATCACTCTCAGTCATCTCTCTAAAAGGTTGTTTAAGTAGGTAGCTACAATGTGAAAGCTCAATGAAATCACAGTTAACTCTAGGAACTCTTTCTCTTTGGTGTGACCACTCTACAGCTTTCACTCTTTGCCCCTGACTGTGATACACTAGATATTGTGAACTCTACATCAAATTTCCTGAGAAGAATGACTTCTTGTACAAACAAATGATCAGTTATTAGTTGAAAACATCACTCTGTTATTGTGAGTTGGGACAAAATAGTAGTCATATCACTTTCAAACTCCAAAAGTAAAATAGATTTCATTCACTTTGAACTTTCAGTCTATTTTAAAATCTTCTGTCATATAAATCTGATTATATTAGTGTGCTCTATAGACTGCACAATATTTTATATACATGTCTTACATTTCTTTATAGACTATTCACAAATGAGCCACAAGACTTCAATAAGAGGTACTTTAATCTGCCAGAACCATCTTGTTGCACCAATTGCCAGAGACCAAACTCCTGTGTCTAAAACTGATGATTGAGGCACCATTAGACTGATACAGTCAAACAAACAATGTGGCAGGCAATTACATTACAGCTTATTAACATTGAGGTCTAGAACTTCTTTCATCAATGGCTGAATTCCTTCTGGATTGACTTTCAGTAAAACTTGTGAATGTTCCTCGTTCAAATTTCGAATATCTGTAAGTTTCATGAGCAGCTTGGGATAAATTGTGCGGACGTAGCTAACAGGATATTTCGATTCCAAATAGTGTTGAAGTAGTAAGGCATATTTATCCTGTTCTTTAGCAATATAGGTTTTATCACTAATACTAGGACGATCAGGTGAAAATAGTGAAATGACCAGCAAGAGAATGAGCACAGTTTCATCAGCTTTTAAATCCATAGCTAATGACTTCACAAATTTCATATGTTCATCAAATAAGCCAGACCCTTCACCCATTTTCAATTGTTCAGCAGTCATGGCATATTTCCCATTATCGTATGGATCCAAGAAATGTTGTTTTTCTCTATCAAAGGTAATGACTGAACGAATGATAAGCAGTTCTATACTACCACCTTTAAGTAAGCTTATCTGATCCGTTTGTGAGAGGGCTTTGAATGACTTGATCTTTTTGGACATATCGATAACTCGGCGGACACTGATCTCAGCAATATTGACCAGATCAGTCATGGACGGGTTATTTCGTGAGATATCATTATCTACACAGATTTCCAGAGATTGTTGGTAGGCGGTGATCAATTCATTGATAGCCTGCTGTTCTTCTGGATCTAGAGGTCGTAATCTGTTGTTGGAAGATGTTACATCACCTGATTGATGTCGGAACTTTTCAACTTCTTTTTCACGTCTGAAATTACAATTTCTTCACATTAAAAAACTCGTCAATATATTCAATACCTCCTGCTTACCAATAAATTTCTAAGATTTATTAAAGTTATATGCAGTATTGAGTCCAGCGTATTGTTAGAAAATTGTCAGAAAACTATAATAACAAGGAAAAAAAAGACATGTAAAGCAAAGCGAGAAAGCATATATTATAGTTTAAAATTCATTAATTACAGTACACAGAATTTGGCTGTTTTTAATAAGATAGAAAAGTGATCTTAACCTTTGATTTGATGATTGGCCACATTTGACCCCAATCTGTGACCTTTGGCTCATGACCCTAAAAAGGAATGAGAACTCAGAATATAAAATTATTTTAGAATTTGTTGATTCAATTTGGATAAATTTGTGTTGATAAAGAAACAGCCACATTTCACTGTACTGTAATTAGAGAAGCAGAATGGTTAAAAGGGTTAAAATTGGCAGCCATTTTGTTTTTACTATACCTGTTCTCTTCTATTCTCATTCTCTTTCTTGTCTTTTCTTCTTCTGTCAAAATATATTCTTTCCTCATACCAATTTCAAAACATTTCCGTAGGCGACATCTTTTACAGAACCTGCGATTTGATACATCCATCTTGCATTTTTCTTCATAAGGGCACTTAAAGTAGTCCTGCAAGATACATTATACAATAATAAGTAGGTTGCTTAAACCTCTATTATTAGCTGATACAATGAAATGATCAGGTTACCAATCTTCAGTTCACTTCAAATCTACACAAGCTAATCAGACAAAAGTACAAAATGTGGATCAAGTCAGGTTTAACCAACGTTGGAAATAAACAAATTTGATTTGTATAGATTATGTACCATGAAAACAATCTGAACATTTGTTGAGTTACATCAAACTTCTAGATAGGCCAACCAAGAAGACATGTCTTTCTTAAGTGGACAAAACCACACATATGTCATTCAGTCACCTATTATACAAATAGTTGTTTGTATAAGTTGTTCAACTACTTTCGAATTTTTGCCAAATAACCTTGACACGACTGATAACTTTTGATATTGATAAATTAATAATCAAAGAGGTTAACCTATCTTTCAAAGGGTGCAAAATGTGGAGGCACAATTTCCTAAAAATCTGGAGAGCTACTGCAATCTTTGAAAGAACAGATGGACATGTGAACATCTGTACACTGTTCCTCTAATCCTAGTGATAAACGAGGTTTTGATCTAATGTATTAAATTTTATGTAATTTTTATGTATGAAAGTTCCAATAATGTAACAGAAAGTAAAAGGAGTGGTTGATAGATGTCCAACCAGCTGTTACTAACTTGAACAATATCTAAAATATATGATGCATGTTGTTAACAGATTACTAATTCAGCTATAATTCAGTAATTCCATGCTTCATTTTAATTATAAGCTAGACATGTTTTAATGGCAGATTGGTGGAACTTTATTGAAAATAACATTAAAGATAGAATTTGAATGGTGAAAAGAACAATAGATTAAAGATACTGGAGTAATCAAGACTTGTTTGATTATCAACTCAACAAATTGAATTTTGTTTTAGATTTGAATAGAATGATTGACATGTAATGATTTTTCTCCTATACAATAATCAACATTAAGATACTATTTCAATAGAATAAAAAACTAATTGGGCATTTGGTTTCTATAGTAACTATTTGATAAATAATAAAGTTGGAATATATGATGTGAGATAATATCAACTAGTAACATGTTATAATTGATTATCATATTGATATCTTACATTATTCAATCAATTTATACTCTTCTGCTTTTAAAACTATCAATAACTGAAACCATTTTATCTGTTTCATAAATATTGAAGATGTCAGAAACTTTGAATAAGAGGAACCCGTCTTTTTAAATTGTTTATCTAACCTGTCTAAACTAAAACCTAATTCTCACATGGAAAACCGTCTATAATCCTTCAGACCAGAAAATGAACCATGGTCCCATATGCTGCATACAATGCCTATTGAGGATCTAAATGCCACTGTCCTAGCAATTTTTTTCTTATTGCCCACTGCATGTTATCGGTTTATATTCATCCTTCAATTTAGTTTTTAAAAATCTGATATTTTAAAAGAACAGAAACTCATCTCTTTACCACATCATAAACAAAACCCAAGTTGTTTTCGTGTAAAATTTTTTTAACAATCTTGCAAATTTTACTTAATGATATAGTTTAATCATCAAGCAAGTCACAATAACTGGTTTGTTTTTATTACAACCATCAGTTTGTACCTTAACTCATTTAGTATTTGATCAAATTTATCAAGAACCACAATAATTCAAGAAATATTTCAATGAAATGAAAATTGTATGTATCTTGTATAATCTCAAATTTAATTTCCTTCAGGCCTTTATGAGACTGGTTCTACCAGAAATAAAGTAAGTAAAAACAGGTTGAATCATGACAGCCTATATATTATCTATTGTAAAGCACCTAGGGCAATACCTGTTTAAACATTGAATATATATAGCAAGTGAAATCTAGGTTTATAGGACTACATCAAACACTAAAATACTGTATATTTTATTCATACCATTCAACATTTCAATTAAATTTGTAATGTAAACAGTAATTATTTAAAAATTCTAGGAAGATGCAGTAACTGTCAAAAACTGAAACTACTGTTATCTATCTAGTTAAAACAGGAAGTACCAGAAAGTAGTTTAAAAAGAATTGGTTCACTTAATAAGTTTTCTCTGAAAGGGCTTAAAGCTGACAGTATTGGATTCAGCCATGTTTGACCGTGCCCATCAATGAAAAATTCTTTCATATAATTGATGTTTCCATCAGAGTTTTTGGCAGAGAGGAAATTCATTACTTAGTTACTTGCTATTTCACAATTACATGTGAGGAGTGATGAAACTGGTCGGAGTAATACAGAGAAATAATGTAATCAAGTTGTTTAAAATCATTTTCTTCAAGTGCTGTCATGCCAATCATGTGACAAAAATACCTCCACTGAACAACATTCCCATATTGGTTGAAACAAACAATTCTTTCTCAGAACAACAAATAAACTGTCACTTTGTCCTTACTGAACCTTCAGAAAACAATATCCTAAATAACAAGATGTTGTCCAAATGTTGATCTACTTTCCTTATGTGGCCAAAAACATGGGTGTTGCCTTTCTTTTCACATTTCTACAAGCAAAAATCTATTCCCTAAACAAAGATGGCTGCCAATCATTAAGAGTTTTGGCAAACCTATTGTTTGTCATGTCCCAAGAAATTTCAACAATAAGTTTTCAGTTTCTTGAAAAACAGTAATGTTGAGTTAGCTATCAACATTATATTGAATAAGTCATGTAAACAAATGGAAAACGACAACTGTAGAAAAATGTGTTCCTTGGTGTAAAAATGATTTTTGGTGAAAAATATTTGGATTTCATCAGTGACTTCAACTATCTTCTTAAGTATTACCAAATGTTTCATCAAGTTCAATATAAAAAGGTTAGAAGAGATGGGAATTCAGACATTTCCGCTGATGACATTTTCAGATAGCTACATTAGAGAAAAGACATAGAGGAACTGGCAGACATTTAATAGAAAAGTAAAAGAAGTGTAAAAGTTAATGTAATCCATGCTAGCTATGGTTTAGAGATGATAAAAGATAAAGGACTATTGTAAATACCAAATAACCCATTTTAATACTTTTATTTATAGACAGTCTAATCTACCACAAATCAAAAACCAACTTTGACAATCATCAACATTATAAATACATTCAGATTTCATCATAAATACCATCATAATAAATCAACAATATGTGGACTCCCTGAAAGGGATATTGAATTGATAAACTTACAGAGTGGCATCAATGCCACTTTCGCTGACCAAAATATTTATATCAGTGGAGCTCCAACTCAATAAAGTTTCTGAACTTTTAGGAATCCACAAAGTTTTTCATGTTTGAACTAACTTTTAAAGATGGACATGGTATATCCATGTTGTTGTTTATTGGTCTGAATGACACAAATACACAGTATGAGTTTTTATGTACAAAAATGTTTATGATATAACTTTATTGTGCAATTTATTTCCTTGGTATTGCTCAAGCCTTCAAAGACCAGCTTTCATGTTTTGTTTAAGGGCAAAAGTAACACTTACCAGGCCTTTGGGAGCATTTCTTCTGAAGAAAGCTTTACAGGACTCACAGGAAATGGCATCAAAGTTGTAGCCTAGAGCCCTGTCTCCACACACACCACAATACTTGTCTTCTTTATTCTTCCGACTCTTGGTAACATTGTCAGGTGATGTGGTGTCCATTGGTCGGTATGGATGGGACTCCATACTGTTGGAGTCCTCGAAACTGAAAAACACAAAAAATAACCAGGTTTAGCACATGAGCTTGAAACTGTATAAATCTAAATTTGTATTTTTCACATCTTGATCAATGATTACATATAATATACCATTATTGTATATATGCAATGTTTCAGACAGTGATATTTAATGTGTTAATGAAATACCATTTTATGATTTGAACAAGTCAATGCAAGGCTGGATATTGAGCAAAAAGGGCGAACAATACAATAAATATCTATCTATCTATGGTGTGTTTTTGTTGATGCATTATATTGTTATGATGCTTTTTTCAAACTTGTTTATATATACACTATATTTTTTTGTATAATTATTAATTGAAGTCAGTATGTCATATTTGTATCACTTATTATTATGTATTATCTTGTATCATGATGTATGCTGCTCAAAAAGGTCGAAAAATACAATAAATATCTATCTATCTATCTATCTGTCTATTATAATATGACATTTCTGATAGTTCTGATCAGGATTCTCATGAAAAGTTCTATAAGGATATGTGTGAATGTTCTGTAAAGTAAATGCCCAATGTCTGTATTGAATTCTATCAGTAATAACAATGTATATTTAATTTGATTACAGTATTAAGTACACTGGTCTATATCCTGTAGGTGTAATCTACAGTGGTATATAATATTAAAGGAAATGTAATGAGATTTAATTTTGCATAATTCTGTTAATTACATATTGTTTGTTTCCAGGCCAAATTATGATTTGCCAACATAAAAGAACTTTTGATTTTTAATCTGATCTTTCATCTGGTAGTTATTCAGTGTTATTGACACATATGCAACACTATAAAGGCTTTCATTAAGAATTTAATGAGTTTCAAATAAAAATTTGATGTTTATGTATTCCCATGTCAGTTTTTGGCTATGAATCAGCATTTAGTACTATAGTATGCATCATTAAATGAAAGCAATATGGTGAAATTTTTAACTAGTACTTAATTAGTCTTCTGACATTTAACATATTAGTAGTCAAGACTGGAATATCAGTTGGTTTTAAACTGAAATGGATTATTATAAGGGAAACTAGTGAATTTTTGTGCGTGGCCTTAACACAAACTATTACTGAGCTTATAATGAGTTGTACTGGTTCACCTCTCAACCAATTCAATACAGCCTACAATCTGACCCAAATACGATCTAATTAAAAAAAACCTCTTTCTAACCAAGTGAATAAATTCCGACACATTCTTTCTCTCTAGGATTTTTGTTGTGACTCACATTAAGAGATATATTTCACTTATTCCTATCATATACAAATCAAATCAAATCAAATCAAATCTAATTGATTGACAATCAGCTTAATTGATTATCAAAAGGAATTTGTCATGAAAAACTCAGTATATATCATGATAAAATACTGTTTGTTTAAAGACTGACTCAAATACAAGGTTATGACCTTTAGATTGTGACTAGGGGTTATTGGGTGCAAAGCTTTAGAAAGTCAGGTGTATATTAAAGTAGGTATATATAAAACACTAGTAGAGCTATAACGAGAAGCAATAAAACACAGTGAATGGTAGCAGATCAATAGCAAGAATTTAAAAGAGTTGAAATTTTCTTTATCATCATTCATGGCCTATATTTGAACTTTAAAGTGATAAGTCTTCCTTTCCCGATATTATATCATTAAAAGTTAAAGTAAACCCTGTATCACTTACTAAAACAAAAATCATATAGTAAGTTCGACTTTGATTAAAGAAAAATGAATGTTGTAATCATTATCAAATTGTATTTTGAGTACAAAGTTTTTATAGTTTTTGTAGAATATGTATTAAGGCTTTATTCCTTCAAATTAATCTCAATCCTTCCATTTTTACACATAAAATTATAGAATTGAACCTGTTCAAAAGAGATAGAATATATTGTCATGGTTTTTCAACAACATCGATATAGACATTGATTCAAAAGACTATATTTTAATCAAATACAATTTGTCTTCAATATAAAATCCATAATATAACTACAGACAGGTCTCTGAAGAATAGAGATATATCATTTTTATTTAAGGAAAAAAGAAATAGTGTAAGAAATATAAAAATCTGGTTATCAGATTCAGAACATATGCACAATAATAGTCATATAATTTATCTAAACACATGACTGGAATAAACTTGGTACCAGAAACACCCAAAAAACATTACACACAGTGCAAAAGGAAAGAAAAACATTATTAGTTGCCATTATCCTGTGGGACACATGTCCTTGTCCAAACATTATACTTTCTCTATTTTTTGTATTTGGTCAAATGAGGACCACATGGAGTATGGAAAGAAACACTGACCCCAGAATTTTATGTTTTATTTTTTTCATTTCTTCAAAATACTTATATTTAACTACTTATATTTAACTACATATTTCAAATAATTTAGTTGTACAAATCTTGACTTAAATTATGAGTATGCAATTCAGCACCAACTGGTGTGATTTCTGTATCTTTTAGTTTTTGAGAAAGTATCCAGTATGTGTAGCATGCTTTTAGCTATATATAGAGTGCACAGTTTATGTTTATGATATTAAAATATAGAGAATTTTATAATGATGTTTATTTTACATAGATGAACATCTGTTGAAATATTTAAGGAACATGTTTACTGGGAGTTCATTACTTAACTTAAATTAACTACCATCACTCAATAATATTATGTTATAATCATTAAACTTAACTCAACTTTCTCTGAGTTTTTACTAACATTATATTTTACATTCTACCATGGGCATAAAAAAATACATTCATATCATTATTACAAATCTGAGAAAATATCTAACATTATTTTTGTTATCTGTGCTTTTAATGTCAAGAGTTTATTGAGCTTTGAAGCTCCAAACACATTTAGGATATGTAATCATCATCAGGACAACTAGTTTGATTATTATATATTAAGATTAAAGTTGTATGAATATGTGTATAAACTTCTGCCCCATTTCATTTTATGAGACTATATTTTACAACCTTTATACATAAAAGCATAGGGTCAGAATAATTTGTTCAATAAATGTTTTAACAACGCCTTTCCCACAATGATAATCAGGTTGTTCTTGGTCGTAATATTCAACATAGAAAGATAACAATATGAAATTAATATCTGCTTACATTTATTCTTTTCTCATAAGTTTTATAGCTTGAAAAATAAATTTCAGGGCAATGTGTTTGTTACCTAGAGCGAAATTATGATTATGGAAAAATTCTGTCAGATTTTCAATGAAAAACGAGATATTGTGTTGTAGTATAAGCTGGCTATATAGAGTGTTCACGATTTCTATAAGTCTATATAATTTGTATAGGTAGTGTTGGCTATGCCTAATTTACTCTGTATAAAGAGTAGAAGACAGCAGGAGTTGACAAGAAAAAATTGACGTCTTTTAGTCAATATTATCTTGAATTGTTTATATTGAATAGCAAATTGATGTTAATAGTTATTCAAACCCAGCCTGATTTCTATACCATCTCTTTATCATAATCAGCACAACATAGTTCAAATATCATTTCTATTTTAATCACCATATGACATGGCATGTTAGAAGAAAGGAAGAGGTTAATGTTGTTACTCTTTCTTTTAAAATATAACTCTCTCTTAAATCTAATCTGAATAGAAATCGAGCAGCAGGAGAGTATAGTCTAGGATATCCAGGCTGTTTTAACACTACACAGTCATCATACGAAATTTCCCACTAACACATTAAATTCAATATTGACACTTATAGCTTGCCAGCTTTTGCCTTTAGTCTTTAAGAAAAGGGTGAAGGAAGAAATGTAAAGCCAATGTGAACCCCCATCACGTACAGTAGAAAATACTCGTCAAGCCAAAACAAAGTTTAAAAGCCTTTCTCAACGTTTAATATCACCCTTCAAAGAAATGCTCCAAGCCAGTAAACATCCCATCTTTGTTTGACAATGAATGCCAAATGTTATGCTAATTCCTAACCAAGATGGTATGTAAAAGATGCCACAACTTTACAACATAAAAGATATCCATGATAAGTGAAAACTTTTAACTTAGGAGGTATGTTTGTGGACACTGTCATTTACTTAGATATATACCATTTTAGAAGGTCATGATTATAGTGGAAAAGTCACTCAGCATACATTTTACTATTTTAAAAATTGACTCAGCAGGGTAAAGAGATTTAAATATCTGCGCTAATCTTGAGTGGTGTTTAACTTGGTTTAGTGTCATGTGTTTGCTGCTAGTTTTAACCATTGCAGTAGATGTAGAGTTAAACAGGCAAATTCTATTCCCTCACACTATTCAAATTTGTAAAATACGATAAGGCTTTGTCAAGATAAAAAATTTCATATTCTTTTTTATGAAACACGATCTGAAAGATTGGACTAGTTTCTATTCAAAGGAAATTTGGACAAATATTTGCATAGAGGAATTCTATAAAATTGCTTTGAAAAATCATTATTCAACTGTTGTTTTCGTGGTAAAATATTTCTAAAATAGATAAATATTGGCTAAACAAGGAGAAAACATGTAACACCTGCAATTCCATCCAGTTTTATAATAGAAGAAATAGGACCAATTGTCCAAACTTGTTTCTTAAGAAAACAAAATATTGTTTATGCAATGACTTGCTACAAGCAACACCTACTATTTTAAACAATGACTTCAACTGCTAGTGGCAATACAATATTTTCCAAATGTCAAAAACAAAGCTGTTAGAAATCAAGAGAAGGAAGTTCTTGTTCTCAAGAATTGTAGCAAACTGTAGTGGAATCTTTTCAGGAATGAGAATTAAAGTACATGAAACATACCACACAATGACAAATTTCTCACCATTCTCTTGTATAAGAAGTGTGAATTTTGCCATTATTGCTTTACATTATGCAAAAACCATTAAAGATATTGAACATCTTATCT